AATCCTACAATTATAAGCAAATAGCAATATTTTTATAAGAACAGCTCTAATGGATTATAATAAAGATGCTTTTAAAAGTATAGGAAAAGGAATTTGCAGTAATGCATTTATATGATCAGAGGAGTGAATGTGTTCATGTAGAACAATCTACCTCTAAACAGTTTTTCTTTATTATTATTTCTAATTTACTGATTTAAACTGTTCTGCTGATTTCAAATTGCAGCCAAACAATGTTTTCTTTTGTTTGTTAGTTAGTTTTAGTAATTTTGGTAATATGAAAAGCTCTCTGAAATGCAGTGGTGGAAAGAGTACTGAAAAAATATAATCAAGTAAAAGTACCATTACCTTCCAAAAAATGTAGTGTGAGTAGAGTAAAAGTACTTGTCCAAAAAACTACTTGAGTAAGAGTAAAAGAGTAGCCTATTTAAAAGTACTCATGAGTATTGAGTTGTGAGTACTGAGCTGTGGATTCTACCCCCTCATAATAAACGCTGTACACCGCATTTGATACATTTGAAAAACATTGTACATTCTGTAATTCACATTATCTTATTTGTCATAAAGAATGAAGAGTATCTATCATCCAGCAGTTTTAATTTAAAGTTTTCTATGCACAATTTGATTTGACGAAAGTCACGAGACCTACTCTCTATCCAATCACGTTGATTGGTAAAAATACAATTAAAATAAGCATGTAACGACCACAAACGGAGGAAAATAGCGTAGTAAAAGTACCGATACATCACTTAAAATGTACTCAAGTAAAAGTAAAAGTACACAATTTTTAAACTACTCAAAAAAGTACAATTACTGATAAAAAACTACTTAATTACTGTAACGTGAGTATTTGTAATTCGTTACTTCACACCCCTGCTGAAATGTAACACACTACCTCTTTAAAAGTTTGGTCAGTAAGATTTTTTTTAAAGAAATGAATGCTTTTATTCAGCAAAAAGTGACCGTAAAGACATTTGTTATTGCAAAAACTTTCTATTTTAAATAAAAGCTGTTCATTTGAACTATCTATTCATCAAAGGATCCTGAAAAACAGTATCTTGGTTTCCAATAAAATATTAAGCAGCACAACTGTTTTCGTGCTGCATAATAAGAAATTCTTTGTTTCTTGAGCACCAAATCAGCATATTAAAATCATTTCTGAAAGGTCATGAGACACTGAACACTGGAATAACAGCTGCTAAAAAATTCAGCTTTGACATCAAAGGAATAAATTACATTTTAAAATATATCAAAATAGAAACAGTTATTTTAATATTTTACAATATTACTGTTTTTACTGTATTTTTTATCAAATAAATGCAGTCTTGGGGAGCATTGGAACATCTTACCCACCCGTAACTTTTGAACAGTAATGTATATATTTTTAAGAATATTTATATTGTATATTTATATTTAACATTTATATCGTTTTTTGCACAATGTGCATGCATTCATTTGCATGCCATCAGTTTACACGTTGATAAGAAAATTTAAGCAAGTGGAATAATGTTTTACCAGTGGAATATATGAAATAAAAAAATACTTTTTATCAGATTAATCAAACTAATATTTGAACTGATTGTCAATGTTTGCGAATACTTAATGTTTAAATGTAGCACACTACTCTTGGTTCTTCGTAGCAGGCAGATGTTGGTGTGAGGAGCTGTTATCATGATCATGTGACTCTGAGAGATGTGTTTGTTGATAATGAAGGTGGTGACAGAGATTGTTATCAAGTTTGATTAGGATGGGCCTTATAATTAAAGATCGGATTTTGTTTGATCAATGTAGTATAATCAGAAAAAAGAAAAAGGATGAATTGAATCAAATTATCCAATAGCCTGCACAGCCTAAATAATGTCAATGGAAAAGGAAGGTCATTTCAGAGGAAGAGCAGGTTATTGCATTTTGAGACATTTTTATTTAGAATAATGAGCACTGGTGAATCATTCACAATAAGACTAGGAACATGCATTAAGAAAGTAAATAGGGTTGGTTTTGAAGGTTAAAAACAGGTCATTCTTTATATGTCTTTCTGATTTATTCACCGTATCTCTCTCTCTCGATCTCTCTTCCCTGTTCTTTTACTCTCACTAACCCTTTTTAAAGGCTGTCTAGAGTGCCAGACCTCCTGAAGCTCTCCTGTCTCGGTTGGGTCCTGCGGATGTTTTTGCCCTTTCAGAAACGCAAGCAGACAAGAATCACGTCGAGATTAAACAATACCGCTAATCATTTAAGTGGCACATGGCAAGGGGACGTTCGCTCCGCCGTTCCCCGCTGAATTCACCCCATCAGGCGCTCAGTCAATGTCTCTCCATTCACACAAACCACTCCTACAATATCTCAGCAGGGGTCTGCAGATGGCGTCTCTCTCATCCATATCGAAAAATCTGTTTGAAATCTGTCATCATCCCATAAGCAAATGCACACCGATTTGCTAATGTCTCATCTTTGGTTCTGATGTGTTAGTTAATTTTATTACATAGAAATTAGGTGAAATTACACTTATTAATGGAAGCCTGTTTCTGCCATGGAGTAAAAATAACTTTTTATTTCCCAATTCTCACTTTGTTGCTTGCAAAGAAGTCAAAACTGTGAAATACAAACACAAGTATAGTGACAGACTTGTGAAGACCGACCGTTAAATCTTGAATGAACAATCTCTGAACGACAGGAGGACACATACTGTACATCTTTATGAGAATTTAAATGTGCTGTGATCTGTGACACACACACACACACACACACACATCAAAATAATTGATACAATATCAGATTAGCTATTAAAAATGTTTAAAAAAAACTCCATAGTAAGATTTCTTTTTAAAAGACAAAGTGCTGAGATGAAGTACTCTCATTTTCTAATAGAGCAGGAGAGAGTTGTTTTATTCTGTGTGGTGAAGCAGGGAATATGAAAGAAGGGAGGAAGTGAGGAAGATATAAACACAAGAGAGAAAAAAAGAGAATTAGGGTTAGTGATGTCAACGGCAGACTCATCGATTGATTAATAAAAAAAAATCCAGACCTCACCGTCTGTGCTTTCATCCTGCTGAGCAGTTCATGTGAATATAGAGCCGTTCCTCTGAACCTACAATCTTGAATGAACAATCTCTGAATGACAGGAGGACACATACTGTACATCTTTATGAGAATTTAAATGTGCTGTGATCTGTGACACACACACACACACACACACATCAAAATAATTGATACAATATCAGATTAGCTATTAAAAATGTTTAAAAAAAACTCCATAGTAAGATTTCTTTTTAAAAGACAAAGTGCTGAGATGAAGTACTCTCATTTTCTAATAGAGCAGGAGAGAGTTGTTTTATTCTGTGTGGTGAAGCAGGGAATATGAAAGAAGGGAGGAAGTGAGGAAGATATAAACACAAGAGAGAAAAAAAGAGAATTAGGGTTAGTGATGTCAACGGCAGACTCATCGATTGATTAATAAAAAAAAATCCAGACCTCACCGTCTGTGCTTTCATCCTGCTGAGCAGTTCATGTGAATATAGAGCCGTTCCTCTGAACCTACAAACGAGCCCTGACACATACTCACAACATCCACTCAGTTTGCACATACATCATCTGCCTTAGAACACATAAATTACACATCATTTGTAATCCTTGATAATACTATCTATTCTTTATTGTCTATTGTATTGTTGTAGGTAGAATAAAAAATGAAAGCCTGTTTCCTCCACAAAATAAAAAAGGCAATTATGACTTTTAATCTCACAATTCTGATTTTTTTTCTCACAGTTGTGGATGTTGTGTGTATGTGTCAGGGCTTGTTTGTAGATTTTCTGTGCATCTTTATTTATGGGGTGAATTTCATTAAACCTGTTAAGAACTGTCCAGTGGCACTAATTTCATTTCTGTCGTTATTTTATTAAATAAAATTAATAGTTTCAAGGACATTTCTTCAGATGTATTTTGTGGGACAATTTTATTCCAACACTATAGCCAAGTACACACTCAGAACAACATGCTGCTCATATTGTCACAGTGTTTTAATCACTTAATGGAGTTCATTCTTGGCCCTTGAGAGACCCCTCAAATGTAACTTTCTTGTTTGTGTATGATAGGACAATTTATAGCTTCTGCATTAAATATGTGTGTGCATGTGTTGGTTTATTATTAATTAGAAAATGACTTGCTTCAAAAAGCATATTAATGTGTTAATCTGCATCTTTAGTTATGGGGGGATTTTCATAAAACCTGTTAAAAGCATGTCCAGTGTCTAGTATTTTATTTTATTTCATTTTATTTTCACCCCATGAATAGTTTTGCGGACCCTTCTTCAGATGTAGTTCACTTTTTTGGCGCTATCCCTAAACCTACCCCTCACACAAAACTTTCTGCATTATTAGATTTAAAAAAAAAACTTCATTTTGTATGATTGATATGCTTGTTTCCTCTTAGCGACCACAAAAATGTTCCCGCAAGGTCAAAATTTACTGGTATTACTTGTATAACGTAGGGAATACCAGGTACGGACATACACACACTGAACAACATGCTGCTCATTTGTCACAGTGTTTTAATCACTTAGTGGGTTTCATTCTTGACCCTTGAGAGACCCCTCAAATGTAACTTTCCTGGAGATTTTGCTAGTGTATGATAGGTACAATTTATAGCTACTGCATTAAATACAGGTTGTGTGTGAGTATGTGTGCATATGTTGGTTTACCATTCATCAGAAAATGACTTGTTCGGAAAAAGCAGATTAACGTGCTTGTGAAGTCTTCGTTGTAGGTAAAACTGCTTGTGTCAGGACTATCTGCCCCATTTCCCTGAGTGCATTTTTATCTTTCAAGTGCTTTTCCATTTAAATATGGTGTTTTCATTCTGGTCCAGTGATAAGAGAGGACAGGAAGTGTTGAAATGTATAAAAGTGAGTCAGACTCTACAAGAACAAGTCTAAAATCACTTAGCTAGTCAACAAATGTCACATTTCCAGCTTTATGATCTTTTTTTTTTTTTTCCGTCTCTTTCAGCAGGCGTGGCTTTGGCAGAGAGGTGAGTCAGTTTTTTAACATTTCCTTTGATCTGATCACTATTTCTATCACTTAGAGTTAAGATTTTGAAGAAACTCCTAATCCAACTGCTATGACATTTTTCCTGCATGGATATGAATAATACCTCATCATGGCATCATGATAGTGACTTTTGCATTGGTAGACACCTCTTAGATTTTCATTAAACATGTAAAAATCCAGTTCTATGTAGTTGATTTAATATATAGGCCTTTTCTTTAATAAATCGAAGGTAAGAGTGCTTTGTTCCCTTGTCACTTCAGGCTGCCAATAGTGCCTCGTGAGAGGCTTACACTGGAATCTCAATGCGATGAAGAGAGCAAATGAAACTTTGCCATTAAACTTACATTTACACCCCGCTAAGGAGTGTAAATTGAAGAGTCTCGTCTTTTCTCAGTTCTGCCTGCACACATAATTTTGCAGCGAGAACATGTCACGTCAATGTCTAAGTTGCGAAGTTAATGCATATAGGTTGCATATGCATGCTGTCAAACACAACCTTTTCTGACCTTTCAAGCACTTTAGCTCTTAAAGTTGGGTCTACTTCTTAACATAGAACATTTTCCCCTCATCTGCATCTCTGCTATTATCTTCCTCACCAGGAGCTCGTTTTTCTCCCCCTTTCCTGTTTTTAATGCACATCTTTTTGCTGCCATGTTCTCTGTCTGATCATTCATTTTAAATGTCTGCAGCGACATCTTTTCTTGCCATTCTCTTTGTCTTTTATTCGGTGCTGCCTCTCATGTATTCTCTCTTAGTGTCAAATCTTTTTTCTCCTCTCCCTCTCTTCTCTTTGTGACTGTGCCAGCAGCAGCAGCTGTTGAGACCCTCTCTGCTCCGGCCTGAGGTAGCATCTCTGTTTGTCTGCATGCCTTTCCTTAGTTGTCCTTGACAAATCTTCCTATTGGTACTGAAGATGTTTTATCTCTGTTTAAAGATCCCCTGACAAACATTTTAGTGTTAACGCAGGAGACAAAACTGCACTCGTCAGGCAAATTTATGGGGTCTTTAATAGCTAAATAATAATCCTGAATGGACAGTTGACCCAAAAAAATTTAAATGCTGTCAGCCTGAATTCACACTCATGTCCATTCCTTCATTCAAACCTTCCACAGAACATAAAAAGCAGACGTTTAGCAGCATGTCCAAGCTGTGTTTGTTCATACAGTGAAAGTAGATGAAGACTGGGAAAGGTTTTAAAAGTTTTATGAATCCATACAGGCAAAATTCTAATTCATTATTTGCTCAAATTGAAACGTAGGGGTGAGTAAATGATGCCAGGATTTTCATTTTTGAATGAACTGTCCCTTCAAAATACAAGACTATTACTTATTTTTTTCTACATACATTTTTTGAAAGACATTAATATTCAGCAAAGAATGCATTCAGTTCAAAACTCTATTAGTCAAAGAATCCACAAAAATATTAAGCAGCACAAAAAACAAGCTGTTTTCAACATTGATAATAATAATAAATGTTTCTTGAGCACCAAATCAGCATATTAGAATGATTTCTGAAGGATCATGTGACACTGAAGACTGAAGTAATGAAGCTTTATCAGTATATTTTTCAATATATGTTTTTATTGTATTTTTTAATAAAATAGACGATCAGCCCTGTTGAGCATAAAAGGTCTCTTTATAAAATCATTGAAAATCCTTCAGACCCCAAACTTTTGAACGGTAGTCTAGATGTTCATTTGCATTCCCAGTTTAAATTAAGTTACAGTAATGGGTGAACAAGCACACAGTGTGCCAGAAAAGTTATTGACTGTATCAATTGTGCACCAAACCCTGACTAATTTTAGTAGCTTGTGTGAAGATGAAGTCTGACATCTGCCTTTATGTTTGTATTTTAGGCTCTCTCCATGGAATCTGGTATCGACCCTGGACAGGATTACTATAACCAAGACTACTATAGCTATGATCAAGGGTGAGTTTCAGAGTATACACAAGGCTAGTGTGTCTTTGTTCCAGACTGAGTTTGTGTATTTCAGATATTTTTACATCCTCACTTCAAGGTGAAGTATGTAATGTCTTTCCCTCTTTCTCTCTGTCTGTATCCCATGTCCTTCGGATTTCAATCACCTTATCCTTGATCACTTCTTCAGTATTTCTCTACTTTTTTTTGACAACATTTTGATGATGCCAAGACAACTGAGCCCCCAATTAAAAAAAAAAAATCCAACTAGAGAAAAAGAGGCTCTCCAATTAAAGACGCGTGATTTCAGGCTAAAAGATGCTTGTAGTGAGTACAATACACTAATTGAGCATCTTGTATGTGCAAGTAGAAGGAGACAGCAGAAGCGAGAGAAAGAGGTGTAAACACTCTCAAATTGACACGTAATGTACCATCGGAACAGCTTTACTATTGGAACAGATGCTCTTGCAAATGTTGAACTGCATGGTTTAACGTCAGCCCATCTGAGGAGATGCTGGAAGCTTTGATGAGATTAATGTGCCCTCACACAGCCATCTTTAGCTAAGCTCAGTGGATTCATTAAGACGTGAGCCGCATGTTTGCTAGAAGGACTTTCAGAGATCAGACTCAAGTCAAGTGTAATGGCATCCTCTATTATGTTCGGTAGAGTCATTCGATTTTTGTAGCGTGAGGAGCAGCAGATGGTCTTAAAGGCCTCTGCAGTGCTCTGAGTGTTAGCTGTGAGCACCACAGAACAGATGATGTGCTTTAACATCAAGATCAAGACATCAAAACCACTGATGATAGACTTCTTAAGGTCTTATTTAACATTTTAAAATGGATAGTTCCAGACCTTGATGCAGACCAGTCAATCCAGAATTTCAGTCATACTAAAGTACACAATATTTACAAAAAAACACCCGTTCATCTAGCTATTAATCTTAGCACTAGGTAAGTTTACATCTCAGGGAATGTGTCTTCTAGAAGGATGACATTTAAAGGATTTGCTCCAAAGATTGATTAAATTGTGTCAATAATATTTCTAATATCAATTTTATGCAGAAAACACAATCGTTTTCTTGAGAATTCCATCAAACTTTCATCCGATTCATTTGAATGCCAAGGTTTTTTGTCCATACTCAAGGCCTTTGAGAAAGAAGGATGGCTTTGATTCTGCAGACATCAAGGGAGAGTGTGGGGAAGATAAATGTTTCACATCTGTCAGGCTGAACTGCACCTGCTATCAGAGAGACCCGGCCTGCTGAATATCCAGGGCTATTTAGAGAGTTTAGGAATCTTTAATGGGGGTTTAGACTTTAATCCCTGGATCACAGGGGCTGTTTGTCCTGCATGGGTGGAGCTACGCATGGGCTGATGTTGATTGCGAGTGTAATGAGGCATCTGCTTTGCCTTTCCCATCTTCAGTAAGTGCACCTATTTTCAAACCTGTTGGAGGTCTCACTCCCACAATACTCAGAATTGAGGTAGCACAAAGGATGGGAAGCAGAATAAAAAATTCATTTAAATTCAAATAAACTTACACGGTTTGTTTTAAAATAAAATAGAAAAGCAACATGTGTCAAGACAAACTTTTAATTGTTGAAAAAGGCCTTTTTTGGAAAGAACGCATGTGATTGGGGTGGGCTAAATCCATCAATTGGAAATAAACAAATTCAACTTTAATACTTCTGCACACAATAACTTTAAGGTATGTTCATATGTTATATGACTTCCATTATTTTATCCAGGTATGATCCCTATCCACCCTACGGCAGCCGCAGGAGGCTGATTACACCTATGTATGATGAGTATGGAGAGGCCATCATGGAAGATGAAGGATATTACTATGGTGGACCAGAGGTAATCTTACACATTCATTCATAGGCAACTTGAAGAAAATGTTGCAGAAAGGATGGTTTCTCTTGTTCATAATCTTGTCATCACCAATAGGATATCACTTTAATTTCAAGAATCATTTAATATAGAGTTTGGCCATTTAATATGAGTAAACTTGATTGATAAGATTGTTTGAAAGGAAATAATGTCACAACAGGGACAGGCAAGAGGGCGAGGTGGGCGAGGGAGAGGTCGTGGGCGTGGAAAGCGAGTGGGATTCCAGGATTTCCCACCAGAAGATGAGATTGAACAGGCAGAGCCAGAGGTTCCTGCTGAGGAGCCAGCAGAGGCTGAAGGTGAAGAATCCAAAGCTGCAAAGAGGCTGAAGTCCGTCATGAAGCTCAGCAAGTTGCTCGCTGCTGGGAAGAAAACTGAACCTACCTCCCCATGGAAGAAGGCCAAGATCTTCCCGATGATGTTTGGGAAAGGGAAGAAAGACAAAGATTATGCCAAGCTGACATCTGCACGGCGTATCGATAGTCAAGAGAGCTTGACGGGAGGGGCGAGCCCAGTCGCTTCCACTGATGGCACGTCCTCTGCCAGGAGTCGACTTGGGAAAGTCCTGAAACGTATTAATCTAGCAAACAAGCTGCAAGTTAGAAGAAAATCACAGAGCAGCATCAGTCGTAGTTCTGCAAGTGAGAAGGACGAGTCTGCAGAGTCAGAGAGAGAAGAGAAGAAATCGAAAGTGTCCATCAGTGTCAGCGAGCCTGAAGCCAGCGGGAGTGGATCAGAGGCAGAGAGCCGAAAGAAAGGCTCAGATGAGGAGGAATCATCTGAGAGGAGCAGTGTAGCAGGCTCTGCTGATGATAAGGATTATTTGAAAGTCGATCTGGACAGAGATGATGCCAATGAGAGCACAGTTGATTCTGAATCAGAGCCAGAAGAACCAGATGAATCTGATGCAGAGAGTAAATCCAAATCTGGGACTGAGAAGTCAGGAACCGAAAAGGATTCCGATGCAGGGTCAGCATCCGAGAAAGAATCTGAAACCGAGAAAGAGTCAGGTTCAGAGGAGGAATCCGGCTCGGCAGAAGAATCAGGGTCTGGAAAGACCTCAGGAACAGAAAAAGAGTCTGGATCTGGGACTGAAAAATCAGGAACTGAGGAAGAGTCTAGTGCTGAGAAGAGTTCTGCCACAGAAAAGGAGTCTGAGGAAGAATCTGAAGAAGATGAAGAGTCTAAAGGAACAGAAGAGTCAGGATCAGGTTCAGAGCCACCTTCTGCTCGCTCCTCAATGAAATCATCCCGTACTGAGGGTTCCTCAGAGGGTTGGAGTGCAGGAACACAAAGCAGCAGAAGTGGGAGTGTTTCCGGAAGTGCAAGTGGTACTCCGAGTGGCAGCGGATCAGGTGGCAGCTCTAAGGGGTCTTCAGCCCGGTCTTCAATGAGGTCATCACAAGCTTCAGTGTCTGGTGAGGAGAGCAGTGGTGAGATAGGGTCAGCGAGTGGCTCTGAAGAGGCATCTGGGACAGAAATGAGCGGATCTGCTGCATCGGATGATGCTGAATCAGATGCCGTTTCCATGTCCGGCAGTGAGAGAAGCTCCAGATCAGCAGGAGGAAGCCGGAGCTCTCACAAGAGCATCATTACACGATCCTCCCAGGACACCATTGATGAGGAAAGTGAGGAGGACGAAGAGGCTTCTGAAGAAGAAGACGAGGAGGAGGAGGAGGATGAAACAGCAGAGAGCAGAGAGTCGGCCAGTGAGATAAGTGATGGATCAATGTCACGGAGGTCAAGTGTGATCTCAGAAAGTGCAGGAACACCATATGCCACAGAGAGCAGCGTTCAGAGTTCAGATGAGACGTTTGGAGGCCTCTCTCCAATCACAGAGGTGGATGAGGATGCCATAACCTCTGGCAGTGGCTCAGGATCTGAGAGCGGCTCTAGGAGTCGCTCACAGCAGTCGGGAACCGGAGGTACCACGGAAGTAACAGATGCAGATTCCGACACTGGAGATTCTACAGCTTTCTAAACAGGGACCAAGTAAGACCTAACTAACTTGAGTGAAGTGATTCCCACTTGATTCCTGTCTTTTCTCTTATACTGGTGTGTTTCGGAACCATTCCAACTGCGTGGAAGTGCTGAAAATGGCATGCCGTGATCTTTTTTTTTTTTTTTTCCTGGTGTGCTTCTCAAATTTCTTCTCTTGAGTGAACCTACATTATCAACCCTGAACTGTGTCTTCAGATTGTTTATTTGTACTTTGAATTTTCTCATGTTTCCGTTTCCAAAAACAGCATCACTATGAGTGCTTTAATATAATATTGACACCACATCTTCTCTACTAAGGGTGCATGCGAGATTCAGTTTATGATTGCAATTTTACACGGCTGGGGCTATATTCGCCAAAAAATCTTAAAGCTAATAAATGGTAAGAAACTCATAGCTAGGAACTCTTAGCAGGACTCTTGGTGATAAGATAAAATTGTTTGTGAATATGGCCCCTGGTATCTACCATTCCCAATTAGTGGAGAGTATTTCTTTGATAGCTGATTTATGTTAATAATTCTTCTCTCTGATCTCCAGGCTGGCAAAAAGAAGCGAATTAAACTGGTGTTGGACCGAGAGCATGACACGACTTCAACAGGAGAAGACAGTGGACAGGAGGTCCAGCGCAATCGCATACCCAACATCAGCAGCCACAGTAACATCAACGGATCGGTATACCTTGCCCAAAACGGTACCATCATCCGAACACGAAGGCCCCCTTACCCCAACAACTTAAAACTGTGCTCACCAACACGATTAGGTAAACAGTTTAAAAAACTGGACAAGCTAGGTGTCACACATGAAGAGCATTTACCTTTAAATGGAACAGAAGACAATGGGCCTACTATCAGCACCACCACTGCCCATTCCTATGTTACTGATCACAACCTTAACTCCAAAGAGTGCAGTGTAATGGGCCCTAACAGCATAGGGCCCAAATCCAACATCGATAAAGCCCGTTTGGAGCTGGATAAGGGGTGCTGTGAGCAGGAGTCCTCAGTGGACAATGGGGAGATTAAAGAGTCGGTAGAGTCTCCATGTGAGCAAACATTGTCTGATGAAGAGGAGCTCTGGATGGGTCCCTGGAACAACTTACACATACCAATGACAAAACTCTGATTTCTAGTTTTGCTAATGCTGATGGTACTGTTTCTATTTAGTTTCCTTTCTAGTCTTTTCTATGTTTTATTTGGGTTCTATAAAGAGTTTATCTCGATTCTGTTGTACACACATCAGACACCGACTAAGAAATGTGATTCTCTTATAAAGAATTCATGCAGATGACTATATTTCACTTCTTATTGTAGTGTCAGATAAATTGTTGTGGAAGACAGGGCTATTCTGTACGAATTTCTTTGCCTCAAGTCAACCGTTTCCAAGATGTATAAAACTGTATAATTAAAGATATTAGTTGTTATCAGATATGATTTCACAAACAGATAATACAAAAAAAATGTAGCCGAATCAAACCGTTTAGAAAGTGTGTCCATTACAGCTTTGACTGAAGAGTATTTTTTAATAAATTAATCAACCGATGGTTGTTCGAAAACTCCCTAAAAATCAGTATAACCGGTGAAGGCTGCTACACTCAATTATTCCTCACGTTTTTTAATGGATGTATTTTTTACATTGAGAATATATATGGTTGTAATGGCCCTAATATTTTGAAAAGATTATTTACATAGATCTATAAATGTATACGTAAGTATAATATATACAGTCTATGTATTTTGATAACTTCAACGATTATTTTCATCAAAAATGTAATTTCTCTTGGTTTTCCTTCACATTTAAGTTTTGTTTTTTACACTGGTCGGATAGTTTGAAGCTTTGATTTATTATTATCATCATCATGAATAAAAATGTGAACATGATCCAAACATGTTTGTCAATAAATTGACAATTAGCAAACCTTTTTTATGCTCATACATACAATGTTCATACAATGGAATGTCACTCTAGTAAATGTCTCCATAAAGTGTGTTTTATATTTGTATTTACTGAACTGCTGTGTTTTACAGGTCAGATATAGAAGGTATAACAGAGGCTTTCTCAGATGAATCACTGAGCACAAGCTGAATATGAGCATTTTTCCCAAAAATCTTTCATCTGCCCATCAAAGGCTGACCGCTCCGTCAGATATGAATAATTGTCCATTCAGATTATTACATCTGCCTGGGGAAAAAGAGGAAACTGTCTTTGACGATTGAGAGTTTTAAAAATGTTTATTGATGCCTATGACAGGATGACATCTTTACTACAGTAATAATGCCATTTGACTATATACTCACAACTATACAATGGTCACTTCAGGTCTTCTAATTTGCCTGGACAACCAGTGTTCCGGTGTTCTTTTCATTTTTAAACGCTGTTATTTTCTGACTGCAGAGTACCGTAAACATCTGTTTGTGATTACTAAGGTTAAACTGTTACATTAGACTTCTTGTTTACCTGCAATCAAGTAAAGAAAACATCAATTTTTAAGTGAATACAGCCTGCTTGTCTGGTTAAAGCTTTTCTAATTTACCTGCCATGTGGAGATATTTTCCACTATTTTTCACACTTGATTTTTGATTGCATAATGTTTTTTTATACGTTGTACATGATTTTGTAACCTTGTTGTGCGCATACAGATAGCTGTGAAGTGATTGACTGTTAACTGCACAGTTGTACGTTCACCAGCAGAGGGAGACACACTATTTACCCATCAGAGCTCTGATGGTCATGACTTATTAGTCTTACCATTGCAAATCACACACAAGACCTTGTTTTTGATGTACAGAATATATTATATTTCAAATGGAAGAAAAAGATACCACCTGATGTTTTAAGTTTGATTTGCTTTCTGAACTGAAATCATGCCTTGAATACCTTAAGTTAAGAGGAACTTGGTTATCAGAGTATGAGGTTCTTAACCGATCTAAACAGATTTTTTAAATTATTTATAATGTTAAATTTCTTTATTCTATCCCAGTTTATTTTGCAAAGACAACTTCATATGTCAATTTCCTGAAGAATTTATATATATATATATATATATATATACACACACACACAGCGGGTAAAATAAGTATTGAACATATCACCATTTTTCTCAGTAAATATATTTCTAAAGGTGCTGATGACATGACATTTTCACCAGAAGTCGGTAACAACCCAAGTAATCCATACATACAAAGAAAACAAAAATAAGTTCAGAAATTAAGTTCTGTGTAATAAAGTGGAATGACCCAGGGGAAAAGTATTGAACACATGAAGAAAGGGAGGTACAAAAAGGCATGGAAAGCCAAGACACCAGCAGAAATCTATCAGTAATTAGAAAGCAATCCTGCCCCTAGTAAGTGGAAATTAAAGGC